TGTGGGTTCGTGTGGGGGTGGGGTTGGGGTTGGGGTTGAGGGGTGGGAGGGAGGAGCGGGGAGAATCTATGGGTGAGGTTGTGTGAAGGACCTTCGCCTGGGATTCCTTGAAGGCTGGGAGGAAAACATAGGCCAAGTGTGGAGATGGGAGGGAGCTTCACCTTTTCTTCCTGCCCCTTTTACCCATTTTTCCCACCCTTTTTTTTGAGACGTCTCACACCCTTTCCCACCCCACTGACCTGATCCATCAGCGCCTTCTGCCCATTGCCTCTGCCTACCTTCCTCTCCGCTTCTTCCCCACATCCCCCTCCCTCATCCCCCCGCTCTCCCCGCGCTTTCTCCCTTTTTTGCCCACTCTTTGCCCCCCTTCTTCTCCCCATCTTCCCCCCCCCCCCCCCCCCCCCCCCACTGACCTGATCCATGAGCGCTTCTTGCGCCTTATCCCTGGTCTCCGTGGCCTTGCGCTTCTCCAGCGCCAGTACCAAAACCGTCTCTCTCCCTCCCCCCTCTTCCACTTCATTCTTCCCCTTTCCTACTTCCCTTGCCTCCCCCCCAACTGACCTGATCCATGAGCGCCTCTTGCGTCTTATCCCTGCTCTCCGCGGCCTTGCGCTTCTCCAGCGCGAGCGCCTCCTGCTCCTTGCGGAACGCGCCCCCGCCGTCCATGCCCAGCGCGTCCGCGAGCTGCCCCGCGGGGAACTGGCTCTGCGTGTAAGGGGTCCCCAGGCTGCTGCTGCGGCGCACGCCCGCGCCCCCGCTGCCCCCGCCGTCCTGCTGCAGCGACTGCAGCTGCTGCTTCATGTCGGGCGTGAAGAGATCCTCGAAGCACGCGTCGTGGATCTGCTTGAGCGTGGCTTGGATCTGGTTCAGAGGGAGGGAAAAACAAGCAGGTAGCAGGGGGGTTGATACGGGGGAGGAAGGGACGGAGCAGAGGGGAGACGGGAAGGGCATGAGTCTGCAGCTGCTACTTCATGTCGACCGTAAAGCGGCCCTCGATGCACGCGTCGTGGATACGCATGAGCGTGGATTGGAGCGGGATCAGAGGGAAGGAGGGGAGAAGGGAAGGGGGACAAAAGGGGGCAGGCGGGGAGGGGGAAGAAAGCGGAGAAGATGAAAGTTGGACTAGGGTGTTCGGCAGGAAGGAATCATACAGGGGAAGATAGTGCTGAGTCGGCTCAAGACGTGAAGGGAAAAAGAAGGTGTACAGGAAATGACGACAAAGGGAGGCAACATCGGTCGGCTCTTCTCATTGTCCTCCCCTCTCTTCATCGGCTCATCTTATCATCAACACACCGGTTTCGCAAGCTAAGGACGCGTTGAAAGTGGCGACTAATATGGACATTCAGAAAACGTGGACCGATACGTCGCGGAAAAAATAACAGATAACAATGACAAAAGATGTGTATAAACAGGCTTAATCCAACGGCGCCATTACGTGCTTACGAAAACGCAGTTGAGGGGAGGATCGAAAGTCTGGTAAAATGTTGAGAGTCGCAGGTTCATTATTAGACTAGCTGCCTTTACGATGCGACTTAGAGTTGACACAAGAAGCCCCCCAGCTACAACTACCCAACTACCTAGTTTCCTCTACGATCACCGTTCCGAGTCACGCGGAGCCCCACCTGTTACATCCACGTAACCACATTTGTAACACGCTATTGCGTACCTGCGCGACGAGGTCATCCAGCATGGCGTCTTTGGGGATGGCGAGAAGGCAGGCTTCCAGCTATTTATTTAGACGACTCAAAAATCACATTTGTAATGTCTGGAACGTTCTATCGCGTACCTGCGCTACGAGATCATCCTGCATGGCGTCTGTGGGGATGGCGAGCAGGCAGGCTTCCAGCTCAGCATGCATGGTGACGAAATCGTCGAGCTTGATCGTCGTCTCTGACACCAGCTGTGCGCGAAAAAGGAAATCAATGCGCGCGGAAAGGGAATCCAAGGGGAGAAATTGATTCGCATGATACAACGATTTCAACGGCTTCCAGCTCAGCATGCATGGTGACGAAATCGCCGAGCTTGATCGTCGTCTCTGAAACGAGCTGCGCGCGGAAGCGAATGAAGTAAGGAAACAAATATATATTCTCATGTGACGACTTTTACAGCTTTCGTAATGAGCCATCAAGAGATGCAAGCTTTGCAATGTCACCCTGATTGAGTGTTACTTTTGAGTTGTCAAAAGTAGCACCCTGATTGCTTGTTAGGCGACTTGTTTGTGTGGGAGGCTTTCGACATCTCAGAACTTGAGTACGGTCGCCGAGTGAGCGATGCAAGCTTCGCAATGTGTCCCTGATAGCTTCTCAGGCTATCTACATTGTGTGGGAGGTGCGGTGCAGCGACTGATGGTGACATATTCTAACAAGGTTCAACATTAGCTATTTACTTTGCACGATGCCATCAGACAAGATCGCCGACTAATACATGAGATGACGCAGTTTAATGGCAGCAATAGCAAAAATAAGTCAACATATAAACTTGGAAAAAGAGACACGAACCTGCAGAAGCTTGCTTCGCGCGCTGATGCAGCGCTGCAGCAGCCCCGTGCACTTCCTCAGAAGATCCTCCAGCTTCTGAAACGCCTTCTTTGCCGCATCCGTCGTCGCTCCCCAGTTTTTAAACTTCTTGCAGTTTTCGAGCAGCGAGTGGATGCTGGCGACAGAGTCTAGAACCAGGCTGAAGTTCTTAAAGTATGCACACGTGGACATGTTCTCCTTGAGCTGTAACGCGAACTGCGTTAGTGTCATGCAGCTCGCTATAAGGAGGGTCAGCACCATGTCCATCATCTTGGCGGCTTTTTATGATCGTCCGAAATAGAAATAAGAGGGTGAGACAGAAATAGGATGCAGGTAGTTAAAACCCTCCGATAATTCTATGCCTCAACCACCCAACGCCTGAAAGCCCCGAACTTGGAAGGGTGTACAAACAGAAGCATTTACCACAAAGATGGATCGTTGCTCTCTGGACGGGCAATAAGCAGAAGCCTATTTAGAGAAATGTAAAATCCAGGCGCTAGGCGGCAATCTCGATGTCAGAAATCTCAGCTTTCAGAATGAAGAGAGCTGGAATGGAGGACGATGTCTTATCTCGCCCTGTGCTCAAGCCAGCCAGCCAGCCAATCTCGTGTTTCCCTGTATCAACCTATCTTCAACTGTCTGTTGGTTTGGATCGAAAATTGTCACATTATAAAGCCAACTAACCACGGTTCTCTTTGGTTTGTTACGGTTGAAAGACGTTAGGATTAAGAACCAGAATATACCAAATTAAATCCTTCTCCACCGCACTGAACGACAAGTAGATCAATCTCGAGGGTCGCATCCTGGAGAACCTTGGGAACTCCCAGCGCACCGACTCAGGGACGGACAGTCAACCAGATAGCTTAGAGATAAGGACAGCTCTAGGGTAACCGGAGCAACTTCTGTCAGCTTGACCACAGAGTTGCTTCACCAGAGGAGTGCAGCAACTCACTTCTCCCATCTCCATTCCTTGCATAGACTCTGAAAAGAATAATAACACGGACACAAGTCCAAACCAGCCAAGGTGTTACGTGAAGCCGGAAACGCACACCCTGGGAACCTAGGTACAGAGATTCAACCAGACAGGGACACAGACTAACTCAAACCTGATTTTCCATGAAACAAACATATATACACTCGGGCTGAAAGTGTACACATCGTAGTAACAATCAGGAAAGACCTTCCAATCATTTCAGCTACAGTGACTATCAGCTTGTTCCCGGGCCTAGAGGCTCAAACTGGTGAGCCAGATCACCCAATCCGAGCCTACTCTTCTCTGTCACCCCAACTGCAAAATCACATGCCAGAATCTCAGTAACCTGCAGACGCGGGAAAGGGCTTGGCTGAGTTTCGGGGACGTCGGCTGGCCGTCAGGACAAGCTGCCGAGCGCCCAAGCAGACGTTTTGGTGCTCCCTTGCTGCAACTGCTCCGTTCCCTCGTCAGGTTTGGAAACTGAGGTTTGGGGACTTGCGCCATCCTTGTTTGAAGCCTCACCCCCGTCCCCAACAAGAATTTCGTGTATTATATTTCCGTTCACTAACATTTCACAAATATCAAGCACCAGACCTACTTGAAACCTCTACAGGAAATGGAGCATCCTTCAGGAGCAAGAGATCAGCATTCCCCTCTGCTAGTAGCCATGCCATCAAGGCTTCGCGATTCGCAACCAGTCGGCCTCTGTTCCACGGTGCTGGAGCGAAGGGGAGTTGAAGCGACTGAACAGCTTGCACCATGGCTTTATTCACAGGTGCTGCATCGGCCTCATCCTTGTTGGGACTCTCATCACCCCACCTGATGTGTATCATTGATCAAGCATAGGAAATTTATGGAAAAAACATCACTTAGCAACAAATACACTAGAGGACGACAAAAGACCGACGAATGATGATAATGAAAATCCAGCTACACTTGGGGAATTTTTTTTTAACTACATTAACCCTCACCTTGTGACTATACTGAAAAGTGGAGGAAGTTCTGCTGGCTCCAGCACAGCTGTCTCATGCACTTGGGAGAGCCAGTGGTGCAGAAACACACAGGCCGCCCCTTGTGACATGCTGCAGGGGAGACAAGGGGATTTGAAGAAATGGTGGGGTTGGGATGAGGGTAGGGCGGGGTTGGGATGGGGTTGGGGGTAGGGAATAGTGGGGGTTTCCGTGCACTTGAGAGGGCCAGTGGTGCAGAAGCACAAACGCCGCCCCTTGCGACATGCTGTAGGTAGGAGAGAGAAGGGTATTGGAATAAATGGTGGGGGTGAGACGGGGGTAGGGTGGGGGTGGGATGGGGTTGAGGGATGAAAATCGTCGAGTTTCCCGTGCACTTGAGCACCATGACAAAATACCAACTCGTTCGAAACCCAGTCACGAAGCTGAGGCGATTTTAGAGTCAAACTGACGGGACCTCAAAGAACAGAATCAGGGCGACTTGTGAGCCAAACTTGGACTTCTGAACAGAACTGACCGGTGCACATCAAGGGACGAGTCGACTCAAAAGCCAACTTGTGAGCCAAACTTGGACTTCTGAGCAGAACTGACCGGTGCGCATCAAGGGACCAGAGGCACGGGTCAGGGAGCAGATGCAGCGACCAGACGGTCGGGTCGAGAAGTCCCAAAACGACCAATTTAATATCAGTTAATTTGAAACGACTGCATATCCTTGACAGCTCGGCAGAACAGAAGAACTGACCGGTGCACGTCGAGGGACCAGAGGGTGGGCGAGCGGTAGGAAGCTTCCGGGAAGACGGCGAGGCTGGTGGCTGGTGCGTGCAGCTTGAGGGCTGTGGCTCGCCTGCCCGCCCACCAGAGGGCGTCCATGAGGGCGTTGAGGAAGACTCGGTTGACCGCCACTCCCTCCCTCTGTGCAGGAGGGGAATGAAGGGACACACACAAGGGAACAGAGGCATCCTTGACTGGTGCGTGCAGCTTGAGTGCTGTGGCCCGCCTGCCCGCCCACCAGAGGGCGTCCATGAGGGCGTTGAGGAAGACCCGGTTGACCGCCACTCCCTCCCTCTGCACACAGGGAGAATGAAACATCCTTTAGTGCATACGTGCATGAGTGCAGCTTGAGTGCTGTGGCCCGCCTGCCCGCCCACCAGAGGGCGTCCATGAGGGCGTTGAGGAAAACACGGTTGACTGCCACTCCCTCCCTCTGAGTTGAGAAACTGTGAGAGGAAATGAAGGGGCACACACACCACACAGAGGAGAGGAGAGGAGAGGAGAGGAGAGGAGAGGAGAGGAGAGGAGAGGAGAGGAGAGGAGAGGCATGGAGGACTGTTGAGTCCAGCTTGAGTGCTGTGGCTCGCCTGCCCGCCCACCAGAGGGCGTCCATGAGCGCATTGAGAAAGACTCGGTTGACCTCCACTCCCTCCCTCTGCACACAGGGAAAAAGAGGCATCCTTGAGTGCATGAGCGCAGCCTGAGTGCAGCTTGAGTGGTGTGTTGACTCAAAAACAGCCCCCCCTCCAGCCTATGTGTGTTGTGTAATGCAGTATGGGGCGATGAACTCGTCTCACCTTGAGGCGTCCAAAGAAGTCCTCTGCAATCGGCCAGAACTCCTCCGACTCATACCGCCCCACCAGCAGTCCCCTCACCACCCGGTGCTCCTCCCCCGTTCCGCCCCCCTCCATCTCCGCGATCAGCCGCCTCATGTCCTGCCACCTGGGAGGGTGTGGAGTGGAGCAACAGACGGAGAAAAACGGATCAAACTTGGAAAGACGTCTCAAAGCTCCTCCCCCGTTCCGCCCCCCTCCATCTCCGCGATCAGCCGCCGCATGTCCTGCCACCTGGGGCAATGGGGAGTAAGAGAATGGGAAGCGGGTGGGAAGGAGATGGGAAGGGGATGGGAAGGAGATGGGAAGGGGATGGGAAGGAGATGGGAAGGGGTGTGGAGTGGAGCAACAGGCGGAGAAAACCCCTAAGCCTCGAAAGACGTCTCATCGCTCCTCACCTTCCATCTACTCCTGGTCACCTTCCCCTTCTGGCACACAGCGCAAGCAGGTGGCAGTAGCTGGCAGCAGGTGGCAGTAGCTAGCAGCAGGCGGCACCATGCCCTCTTCCCTGATCTCCGTCGTCTGTGCATAAGCCGCTTCAAAGGTTACACGTATCCTCTCACTCCCCTTGGCTCTCGTTTCTGCTGTTCCTCTCACCTGCCTCTCCTCGCACAAAGAGCCAACAAATGGCAATAGCTCGCAGCAGGCGGCACCATGACTTTTGAGTCAACTCAAAGGTCCCCTTGGCCCTCGTTTCTGCAGTTCCTCTCACCTGCCTCTCCTCGCACAAAGAGCCAACAAATGGCAGTAGCTCGCAGCAGGCGGCGGCACCATGCCCATCTCTCTAATCTCCGTCGTCTGCGCATAAGCCGCCTCAAACGTGGCCTCTCAATCCCTCTGTTCCGCTCACCTTCAACATCTTCTCACCTTCCCCGTCTCGCGCATAGTGCCAGCAAATGGCAGTAACTGGCAGCGGGCGGCACCATGCCCTCCTCCCTGATCTCTGTCGTCTGTGCATAAGCGGCCTCAAACGTGCCTGCAGCGCTGTATGCAGCCACCATGGCTGCGTGGGTTGCCAGAGAGGGCCGGCAGTTGGCTTGCTCCATGTCCTGTGAGGGGTGAGAAGAGGTATGCGGTGAGAAGGTTTGGCAAAGGGTGAAGGCGCAAAGAGGGGGAGGCGAGCAGGAGGGCAGCCAGTCACCCCCTGCTGCCTGCAGCGCTGTATGCTGTGACCATGGCTGCATGCGTTGCCAGGGAGGGGCGGCAGTTGGCCTGCTCCATGTCCTGTTGCATGGGGTGAGATTGGGTTGCATGGGGTGAGATTGGGTTGCATGGGGTGAGATTGGGTTGCATGGGGTGAGATTGGGTTGCATGGGGTGAGATTGGGTTGCATGGGGTGAGATTGGGTTGCATGGGGTGAGATTGGGTTGCATGGGGTGAGATTGGGTTGCATGGGGTGAGATTGGGTTGCATGGGGTGAGATTGGGTTGCATGGGGTGAGATTGGGTTGCATGGGGTGAGATTGGGTTGCAAGGGGCGAAGGTGTGAGATTAAGGTTGCAAGAGAATGCATTGCATCGAAAAAAGCCACATTGACAAACCGTTACACAGTCACTTAAATCCCGTTACACACTCGCTCACACCTCGTTCCACTCACCTCGCTGACTTTGATCGCTTCATCATACAGCCCCCCTTCAGTAAACGCCTCGATGAGAGCATTAAAGGTCCTCAGAGACGCATCAGCAGGATACGGATCAGCGGAGGAGGTGGAGGAGGCGGAGGGAGAGGAGGTGAGGGCGGGGGAAGAGAGCGAGACGGCTGTGTTTCCCGCACTTGCAGTGGTGTCATCACTCACACCACGTTACACTCACCTCGCTGACTTCGATTGCTTCATTGTAAACGCCTCGATAAGAGAATTGAAGGTCTTAAGCTCAGAGGCGCATCAGCAGGGGGTAACGACCAGAACCACCAGTGAGAGGAGGAGAAGACTTTTGAGACGCCTCAAAGACCCTCAGAGGCGCATCAGCAGGGGGTAACGACCAGAACCACCAGTGAGAGGAGGAGAAGACTTTTGAGACGCCTCAAAGACCCTCAGAGGCGCATCAGCAGGGTATGGGCCAGCAGAACCACCGGTGAGAGAAGGAGAGGAGGGAGAAGACTTTTGAGACGCCTCAAAGACCCTCAGAGACGCATCAGCAGGGGGTGCGGACCAAAACCACCAATCACACTCACCTCGCTGACTTTAATCGCTTCGTTGTAGAGCCCCCCTTTAGTGAACGCCTCGATAAGAGCATTGAACGTCCGCAGAGACGCATCAGCGGGATACGGATCAGAGGAGGAGGCGGAGGAGGAGGAGGAGGGAGAGGAGGTGAGGGCCGGGGAAGAGAGCGAGACAGCTGTGTTTCCTGCATTAACTGTGTCTCCTGACAAAAATCCCCCTGCTGCTGCTCCTGTTGTTCCTCCTGCTGCTCCTGCTGCTGCGCCTGCTGCTGCTCTCCCCCCATCGGATTGCATCATGAGAGCAAAGACGAACGCTGCGTCGTCGTGCATGCCCCCTGCTGCATACGCCTCCATGAGCGCGAGGAAAGGACCCTGTGGGAAGAGGGGGGGTAGGAAGGGTACATAGAGTATGGCAGATGCTACTGTCACTCACTGCCACAGTCTGCATCGTCGTGCATGCCCCCCATTGCATACGCCTCCATGAGGGCGAGGAAGGGACCCTGAGGGAGGGAGCGGGGAAGATGGGAGGTGTGGGGGAAAGGGAGATGAAAGGAATGCTGCTGCTCCTGCTGCTGCGCCTGCGCCTGCTCCTGCTGCTGCCTCTCTCCCCCCATCAGATTGCATCATGAGGGCAAAGACAAACGCTGCATCGTCGTGCATGCCCCCTGCTGCATACGCCTCCATGAGCGCGAGGAAGGGACCCTGTGGGAGGGAGGCAGGCAAGGTGGGGGGAAGGAAAGATGAAGGGATGGATGTAACTCCACATAGGGATTAAGGGGCGAACACAAACATGTTCGTGTTCGCCCCTACACGAACACATCCGTGTTCGGTTCGGCGAACACTTTTAGCAAAAACAGGTGTTCGCCGTTCGCCTGTGAAGGCGTGTAACCTCGAACACGTTCGTGTTCGTCGCGGGGCGAATTGCAGCAGTGGCCCGAACACGAACGTGTTCGGGCGAACCTCGAACACTGTTTGGCGAACACTTTAAGCAAAAAAAAAACCTGTTCGGTTCGCCTCGAACACGTTCGAGGCAAACAGAACAGGTGTTCGTTTTTTTGCTCAACCCTAACTCCACACACGACCAGCATGCGCAAAAGAAGCGGCAGAAGCAGAAGCAGCAGAGCTATGCCTTTTTGGCTGCCTGAATGCTGGGAGATGCGGCTACTAAAGCTCACAATTATAATAGCTCACCGGCTGGTCTGAGAGTCCCATCGCCATGCTCTCGTGCAATGCGGCCAGTGCATGGTTGTACATGCGTGCCTGCCTGCCCGCCTGCTCGCCTGCTAGGATATGCAGCTATTAGAGCGCACTTGCTCCCCACTAAAACAACTCACCGGCTGGTCTGAGAGTCCCATCTCCATGCTCTCGTGCAACACGGTCAGTGCATGGTCCGACCAAGATGGTCGTACATGCCTGCCTGCCCATACGCCTACCTGCCTGGGTGCCCTTTCATCTTCCCAGCTCATCCACTCACAGGCTGGTCTGAGAGTCCCATCTCCATGCTCTCGTGCAGCCCTGTCAGTGCATGCATGGTCGTGCATACCTGCCTGTCCATACGCACTTAGTGCATATCATATCCTACCGTTTCTACTGTTCCCTTGCTCCACCCACTCACCGGCTGGTCTGAGAGTCCCATCTCCATGCTCTCGTGTAAGGCCGTCAGTGCATGGTCATACATGCCTGCCTGCCCATACGCGCTTATCAGAGCCTCCATTAGCGAGGATGATGGCTGCACCTGTGATTGCTCTCGCATGAACCTGATTGGAAGTGGGGGACAGTGGGAGAGAGAGAGAGAGAGGGGGGGACCTCAGCTATTGCCTGCCCATACGCCCTTATCAGACAGAGCCTCCATCAACGAGGACGACGGCTGCACTTGTGAGCGCTCCCGCATGAACCTGATTGGAAGTGGGGGACAGTGGGAGAGAGAGAGAGGGGGGGGGGGACCGCATGAACCTGATTGTATCGAAGAAAAAGAGGGGAGGAGGGTGGTGGGAGGGAAAGGAAAGGAAGGGGAGAGGGAGGGTGAAGAGGAGGGGGGAGGGAAAGGATTATCCTAAATGATGCCATCTCATCCAGCCCACATGTCACAAGCAGAGGGGTGAAAGCCCCTTCATCCACCTCCACTCCATCCTCCTCCTCCATGTCCCAGAACAGCCGGGAAGCTCTATCGATTGACTGACCACAAGGCTCTCAACCGAATTTACCAACATCTTACGAGTCTATGAATGGGCGTTTGCGTAAGGACCTGGAGCGTTTGAGGCGATTCAAAGCTCTATACCTGTATATTTCTGTGGCCTCTGTGGTGAGCCCTCCCAAGCCACACGCCACGAGCAGAGAAGTAAACGCCCCTTCATCCACCTCCACCCCATCCTCCTCCTCCACCTCAACCCCTATTCCCTTCCTATGTGACTCGATACAACACTATTCACCTGTATATTTCCGTTGCTTCAGTTGTGAGCCCCCCCAATCCACACGCTACAAGCAGAGAGGTGAACGCCCCTTCGTCCACCTCCACGCCATCCTCCTCCATGCGACTTCTGAGTGACTCGACTCACACATCACCATACCCATGTACCTGTAGATTTCTGTGGCCTCGGTTGTCAGCCCTCCCAATCCACACGCCACGAGCAGAGAGGTGAACGCCCCTTCATCCACCTCCACCCCATCCTCCTCCATGTCCCAGAACAGCCGCGAAGCTTCTCGGAAGAACCCTCCAGAAATAAAAACGTCCAGCAGGGTCTGGTACGTGGCGAGGTCGGGTTTCCTCCCAGAGGCCTTCATCTGGGTGAAGACAGATCGCACGTGGTGGTAGCTGCCGTTGGACCCGAGGGCTTTAAGAAGGGCAGTATAGGTGGCGACGTTGGGGATGCAACCAGCTTGCTGCATCTCGTTGAATACCTTTTGTGTGGGACGGGGGGAGGCGGAAGGGAGGAGGAGGGGGGAGGGGGGGCGGAGCAGGGGAGGAGGAGAAGAGAGGGGAGCAGGGAGGGAATAAGGAGGAAAGGGGAGGAAACTAGGATTCCTCCCAGAGGCTTTCATCTGGGTGAAGACAGATCGCACGTGGTGGTAGCTGCCGTTGGACCCGAGGGCTTTAAGAAGGGCAGTATAGGTGGCGACGTTGGGGATGCAGCCGGCCTGCTGCATCTCGTTGAACACCTGATGTGTGGGGAGCAGGGGGGGAGCAGGGGGGGAGGAGGGGGAGTGGTGGACGCCAAGTAGTCAATTTTTTAAGCGCCTTAATAGGTGGACGCGAAGTAGTCAATTTTTTAAGCGCCTCAAAAGGTGGACGTGAAGTAGTCAATCTCACCTCCTGTGCTGCTTGGTACTCTCCCCCGCAAGCATAGGCGTCGATGAGCATGTTGTGAGCTGACACGTCAGCCACCACCCCAAGGCCACCCCAAGGCTATGATGCATGTGTGTTGATGATACACGAATTGTGCTGGCACGCTCATCCTCACCTCCTGTGCTGCTTGGTACTCTCCCCCCAGGCATAGGCGTCGATGAGCTTGTTGTATGCTGACACGTCAGCCACCACCCCAAGGCCACCCCAAGGCTATGATGCATGTGTGTTGATGATACAAGAATTGCGCTGGCACGCTCATCCTCACCTCCTGTGCTGCTTGGTACTCTCCCCCACAAGCATAGGCGTTGATGAGCATGTTGTAAGCTGACACGTCAGCCACCACAGGGCAAGGGCACGTGTGTGTGGATATATCGGATAACAGATTTGTGGTTAATTCTCACCTCTTGAGCTGCTTGATACTCTCCCCCCCACGCATGAGCGTCGATGAGCATGTTGTATGCTGACATGTCAGCCACCACCCCCGGGCAAAGGCACACTGTGCACGCACACACAGTAGTACGCATGTATTCTCACCTCTTGAGCTGCTTGGTACTCTCCCCCCCAAGCGTAAGCATCGATGAGCATGTTGTAAGCTGACACGTCAGCCACCACCCCTTCCTCCTCCGACATCTCCTGGAACAGACGACGCACGCCGCCCAGCTGCCCGCCCCGGCGGTGCGTGTCGACCAACGAGGCGTACGAGAGGGCATTGGGCGGCACCTGGTAGGGAGAGAATGGAAGGGCCGGGAAATTTTGGCTTTTATGGACCCTTTGTTGTGTGGACTAGGTCACTAGGCCAGCCATGGGATTCATAAGAAGCGTCAGAAGAGTATGTAACAACATGGTGTCATAAGAATATCATCAGGGCAGAGAGGCTACATGTTGACTAGGCCAGCAGTAGCCGAGAGGCACCCTTACCTGGGAGGCAACCATAGAGCGGAAGACCATAGCTGATTGCTCCACCAGCGCTCGCAAAGGTACGCACACGCAATGCATGCACGTACACACGTGCACGCCCGCACACACACACGCTCACACGCTCACACACACCCACCCACCTGGGAGGCAACCATAGAGCGGAAGACCATAGCTGATTGCTCCACAAGCGAGCGTGCATTGCAAGCTGCTAGCAGCGTGTTGAACGTGACTATGTCGGGCTGGTGAGAGGGGGTGGCGGGGGGGAAAGGGGAAGAAAAAGGGGGGGGGGAAGAGAGGTTAAGGGGCAAGAAGCAGGCTACTAGCAGCGCGTTGAATGTGACTATGTCTGGCTGGCGGGAGGATGGGGGGGAGGAGGGGGAGGGGAGGACGAGAAGAGGAGAGGCAGGAGAGGGGGAAGGGGTCAGAATCATTGCAGGCTGCTGGCAGCGTGTTGAAGGTCACTATGTCGGGCTGATGGGGAGAGTGAAGGGAAGGGGAGAGGGGGAGGGTTGGGGGAGTTAGGAAGGAGGGAGAATGAGCATGGGGCATTGCAGGCTGCTGGCAGCGTGTTGAATGTGACCATGTTGGGCTGGCGGGAGACGGAAAGGCCGGTGGGGGGAACGAGAGTGGGAAGGAAGGAGGGGTGAAGAGGGGAGAGACGGGGGAAAGAGCATTGCAGGCTGCTAGCAGCGTGTTGAACGTGACTATGTTGGGCTGATGGGAGGATTGAGAGGAGGGGATGAGAGAGGGGAGTGAGAGGAACAGAAAAGGGGGTGGGGGAGAGTGAGAAACTGGCACTGCAGGCTGCTAGCAGTGTGTTGAACGTTACTATTCGGGCTGGTGGGAGGAGAGTGAACAAGAGGCCAGGGGGGTGCGGAGAGTGAAGATGGGACATTGCTAAACACTCCTACACACTCCCACACACTCCCTCTCCCTCTCATTCCCTTCCCTCCCCCCTCTCCATCTCACCTGCACGCTCTCCTGCCTCATCTTGGCGAATATATCAACGGGCCCATCCCAGGGCATGGCGCCCTTGGCAACCCAGACTCATACAAAATACAAGGTACAATATCACGTTCCCACACACTCCATCTCCCGCTCATCCCCCCCCCGCCCCCTCCCCCCACACTCACCTGCACGCCGTCCTGTCTCATCTTGGCGAATATATCAACGAGCGCATCCCAGGGCATGGCGCCCTTGGCACATGCGTGCAGCACGGTGTTGTATGTGATGCTGTTCGCTGCTACCCCCTCCCTCTTCATCCTTGCCAGCAGATCCAATGAGCGCTCATACTGGTGGGGAGGACGGAGGGAATGGCAAGGGGTGGAAAAGAGTGAGGCCCTTGGCACATGCGCGCAGGACCGTGTTGTGAGTGATGCTGTTCGCTGCCACTCCCTCCCTCTTCATCCTTGCTAGGAGGTCGAGTGATTGCTCGTACTGACAGGGGCCAGGGTGGGGGGCGGGGGTGGGAGTGGGAAAGGGTGGCGTTGGGGACGAGTTTTGAGGCGCCTCAAAAGGGACGAGCAGGGACTTGGCACATGCGCGCAGGACCGTGTTGTGTGTGATGCTGTTCGCTGCCACTCCCTCTCTCTTCATGCGTGCCAGGAGGTCGAGTGATTGCTCGTACTGATTAGGAACAGGGCGTGGGAGGGGAGGGTGGGGTGGGAGTGGGTGGGGGTGAGGGAGAGGGTGGGGAAGAGTCAGGCCCTTGGCACATGCGTGCAGCACGGTGTTGTGTGTGATGCTGTTAGCTGCCACTCCCTCCCTCTTCATGCGTGCCAGGAGGTCGAGTGATTGCTCGTACTGATGGTGCGGATGGGAGGAGAGGGGAAGGGAGGCGGGATGAGGAAACAGGGGCGCTCTTGGCACATGCGTGCAGCACGGTGTTGTACGTGATGCTGTCTAATGCCACGCCTTCTTGCTTCATGCGAGCTTACAGGTCTAGCGATCGCCCGTACTGATGGTGATTTCTCAATAGCATGAGTAAAACATTAATGGCAGTTTCTCACCATTGCCATTCCTCCCATACGCGTTGATGAGCGCCGTGAACAAACACACATTCCAATCCACTCCATGCTCTAGCATGTTAGGTTCATTTAGCTGACATCTCTCAGACTCTCACCATGCCATTCCTCCCATATGCATTGATGAGAGCCGTGAATGAATACACATTCCACTCCACTCCATGCTCCGGCATCTCCTCAAACAGCTCCTGTGCACGGTCCAACATGCCCTCGCGACCTGATAGAGGGGAAGAGGAGAAGAAGGTGGGAGGGGGGAGAGGATGAGGGAGAAGGGGAGAGATTGAGAGGCAAGAAGCACAAGGCAAATTCCACTCCATGCTATTCTCCGGCATCTCCTCAAACAGCTCCTGTGCACGGTCCAACATGCCCTCCCGACCTGATTGTTTGAGGGGAAGAAAGAAGAGGGTGGGGGAAAGGTTTTTGAATGTGGGTGGGCGTGTGTGTGGGAGGGTGTGTGGGTGGGCATGAGTGCAGACTGCGTATGTGTGCAAGGAATACAAACCCGCAATGCCGATCATAATTGTGTGAATTTACTCGTTGGCGCCAGCATACTTACACACCATCATGCTGGCGCATGTCATTGTGTCAATGTGTGCATGTGTGCATGTGTGCATGCGTGCATGATGCCGATCATGATGGTATAGATGTACTCGTTGGGCGCACGAATGAGGGGGGGGCATGAATGCTGGTGGGTAGGGCATATGAAACACGCACCCATGATGCCGATCATGATGGTGTAGATGTACTCGTTGGGCGCACACCATTGCTGCCGCTGCACGCACACAACAACAACAACACAGGAAATACAAGAAATCAAGGGCACAAGGAAAACAACCGAAACTCAGTGCTGCTGCTGCTGCTGCGTGCTGCCTCAGTAACCGAGTGGGCTGAAAAGTCAACCTTATGCCTCGATACTTCTTTTCAAACTAGTCGCATCGCATGGTACTCCCATCTACTCTATCCCAGACAACTCTGGCGGCTGCTAGAGTCGAGAAATACCCATCCGCACCCACCGAACCTTCCCTCCCCTCCCCCCCCCACACCCCCCCCCCAGAATCGCCCTCCCCACCTGCATGTACTTGAACAGGCGCATGGCGCGGATCCCATCGCCAGCTGCGTACACCTCAACCCACTCCCCATTCTCCCCTCCCCCCACATCACACCTCCTCCCCCACCTGCATGTACTTGAACAGGCGCATGGCGCGGATCCAATCTCCCCTTTGCGCGAACTCCTTGAAGATCAGCGCAAAGTCCTGGGGAGGAGGGGAGAGGGGGGGAGGGGGAGGAGGGGGAGGGGAGGGGAAGCGGGTGGGGAGGAAGGGAAGAACTGGGCTTGGGGTTTGGGAAGTGAGAATGGGGCAATGGCGAGAGCGTGGAACGCGTTGGGGAGAAATCTTGGCGAAACACCAAGGAGAGAGGGGTTGGGGGCTTACTGCAGCTCGCCCTAAACCCTACCGGCAGCGCCAGCTTCCCCTTAAACGTCTCCAGATACAAGTCGGCTCAAACTTCCCCTCACTACTGCCGGTGGCTGAAACCCTAATCGATGTAGACGGCTACCACAAACCCTCATTTCTGTAGATAACCCTCGCTAACCCTACCGGCAGCGTCAGCTTCCCCTTGAACGTCTCCATGCATCGCGAGATGCTGCCACGTGGCGCCAGCGACACGAGATTGCTGATCACCGCCTCGAGCTCGTACGGAATCTTTCCGCCTCCCGATCTCCCCGCGCCCCCCGCGCGCCCGCTCGGCGGAGCGAGCTTCTGCTTCCGATCCCGCGGCGGCGCGCGGGTTCCGCCTTCCGCCGCAGCCACCACAACGTCCGCGCGCGCCAGCGCACTCGGAAGGCGGAGAGGTTCCCCCTTTCCCCCTTTTCGGCCAGGCACGGCACTGGTACCGCGGAACGCATTTTCACCGCCTATTCGCTCAGCTGGTGACGAGATTTTTAAGCCCGTGAAACGCGGAAGCACGGCGGAGCGATGGCGGCTCGACGACTGACAGTGGACGTCTGGAGATGAACGGAAGATGCGCGGAAGCGAAAGTTGCGCGGCCGCGGACGCCATTGTTGCGGACAAGCAGTTTTCACAGGAATGGAGGAAATGATGCTATTTACAATGCAATGAGAGGAAACGCTTTTTTGTCTGTTTTGTTCCTATGCGAAATACTGATGCGCTGTAGTTGGCACCAGAACATCCTCGCTATAAGTTCTCTATTCGCGATCCTGAAGGCATGTTCTGTGTTGAAGCTTGAAGTTCATGTCGTAGGTGACGAATCTCGCGAACGGTAAGTGTCGAATGCTCCAAATTTCAAGACCAGCGTATATCCGCGCGAGCTAATTCGCGAGCCTTACACGAAAGTAACTCTCAGTCGTTCTCGCATCGTCAATCGTTCAGGCCCATCAGCGACCAACTTCAGGCGGCAGCATGGCTTAGGACGCGGTAAAAGTGCTCGTTCGGGGGGAAATCGAACCTGTCACCTCACTGAAACCCCGCGTTTTGTATACAAAAGATACACAACCGTTTATAACCGTGCTAAAAAACGAACCTGAGGCGATCGATTCTCCACTTTTACCGCGTCCTTATCACCACACCGCCTCCTCACCCTAGAATCTGCAGAACACTTTTCTCTTTGCCATCTTCACCGTTTAAAGTATCATACAAACCGTTCAAAATATTATAAACACCGTGCAGTGCATACCGTCTGCTAGTGCCCTTTCCAACCCTTTCACCAACCCATCTATTTTATTAGTATTCTAATTAACTAGCCGTTGGGGCAACCATAACATTCCTAAGAGGCTAACTTGTAGGAGCAGGAGACTAACGACCTGTAGGCTAGCGACAACAGGTAGGCTGCGACAGCCCAGCGCTGGGTTGTTGCTGAATGCGAACAGTGCAGCAACGTGCGACGATGTTTTCGCGTCGCACGTCCGGCGTTCCCGTGAACGAATGTCGCTGACTGGTGTACGACACTGTGCACTTGATTAAACCCGAATTAACGAAAACAAGCTCGACCGCTTGTGCTAGTAGCGAAATGGCTATAAGGCGAATATTCTTGGAACGTCCCTGGCGCCGCTATTCCGCCGCTTCACCAGCACTCCGCAGCGCCGCTTCTTCAGTGCACCTCGCCTTACTATCCTCCCCAGCGAACTTTTCGGAAACTCGGAACCAGCTCACCCTTCACACATCATTCTCTTCACTCAGGAGACTGTTCTGCCTGTGCTTACTTTACCTCGTCGCATGCTTGGCGTCGCACGCGTCGCCAGCTGTCGCCGCACGACCAACCACTGGTGCGACCTCGCATCCCCACTTTTCATCCCTCACTCTTCCCCACACCTTCCCCCTCCCCTCTCCCACCTTCTCCCCTATCTCTCCCCTTCTCCAACCACCTCCCTTTTCGTCCCCCCCCGCCCTTCTTCCCCTTGGTTTATTTCCTTCATATCATATTCCCAAACAAACCCTCGCAGTCCTTCCCTCCTCACAACTCCCCTCTGCCAGTTCTGCCATGTCCCTCCCCTGTCACACACACCCACACCCAGGTCCCTCCCCGTCCGTCCATACCCGTTCTAAGCCGCTTCAGTATACAGGGCGCAACATGCACTACACCTCATCGCATCCCATCCTTTCCCCCGTTATCCCCCTCCCTCTCCGCCCCCTACCCACCCACATGCACCCCCCACCAACACCAGTGCCCATCCGTATGGACTGTGGAAGCACAGTCGGCACAACTATAAATGGGAGTAATAGTGTCCCGCATTACCCCTTTCCCTCTCATCCCGTCCCACATTGTCCCCTTCCCTCTTCGCCCGCCCACACCAGTGCCCATCCGTATCGACTGTGGAAGCACAGTTGGCACAACCATTAACGGGATCCAATGGCAGGCAGACCAATACTTCGATATAAGCACATCTGGTAACCAGCGCAAGAACCCCACCGACCAGCGTAACGGGTTACCAGTTTCTCTCGCCCAAAACGTCGCCCTGGGGAACCTTTTATCCTCGGTAGAAGCATCTATGCGTTATTTCCCAACACTTAAGGGCTGCTACAGGGTTCCTGTATTTCCCGGGCGATACTTAGTGCGAGTAGGGTTTGCTTATTATGATTACGATAACCAAAGCGCGCCGCCTTTTTTTTTAGTTAAACTGCAAAACACTGTAGTGGAGGCGGTGGATATGGGTGTAGTGGAGCAGAGGCTTGTATCAGGAGCGTACTATTCTGACTATATGGCGTATGCCCCTGGGGGAGGGACAGCCCCTGGGGGAAATGGGGGGGGTGGAGGCGGAACTGGGATGGCAGCAGGAGGGGGGAATGGGGGGGCAGGAGTGGGAGGAGGAGGAGGAGCAGCAGGAGTGGGAGGAGCAGGAGGAGTAGGAGGAGCAGGAGCAGTGGGGTTAGGCGGAAAGGGACAGGATGTAGGGAAAGAGGGAAATGCCGCCCAGGCAGCAAAGGGTAGCAACGGAACAGAAGGGATCAGCAGCAATGGAACCATTTCTATATGTTTTCTCACACAGAACCCCTCCCACGCCCCTCCTATCATCAACTCCCTAGAGATTCTACCCGTTGACTCAGAAGCTTACGACTCTGCCACCCTCGGCCCAGATATTATCCTCTCGTCTTATCTCCGGATCAACATGGGCGGCGGGCAGGTTGGGCCCGAGCCTCAGGACCCGGGGTTCCGAACCTGGATTGCGGATGTGGTTTGGGAGAAGGAGATGGCTCGGCTCGGGGGAGGTCTGGTGGGGAGGAGGAGAGGGTGGGCGAGAGGGAGAGGGATTGCGGGGACGAGAAAGCCACCTGAGTTTTTACCTGGGATGATATTTGAAGACTGGAGGTCGGCTGGAGGGTTGGAGTTGCAATCAGTGGATGCGAAGGGGCAGGGGCAGGGACAGGTGCTGGGACAGGGGCAGGGGCAGGGGCAGGGGCAGGGGCAGGGACCGGGGCCGGGGCAGGGAGGACAAGGGCAGGGGCCGGGGCAGGGGCAACAAGGACAAGGGCAGAGGCAGGTGCGTTCTCGCAGGCGACTGAGTTTCCAGGACCATGAGCTCTGCTCCAAGTGCCCTGCCCTGCTTCCCCAGATGCTCACAGATCCCTTTGCAAACCACAGCCACCTCAACAGCATGGTTCAACAACAGGAGTACGAGCATGGAGGGCAGCACGGAGAGCAGCACATGCAGCACATGCAGCACAGGCGAGTGCTCACAGGATTAGATCCCCAAGGCACAGCCGGAGCAGCAGGGGCAGCAGGGGCAGCAGGGGCAGCAGGGGTAACCGGAGCAACAGGAGCAGCAGGAGCAGCAGGAGCAGCAGGAGCAGCAGGCACACTTCCTCCTCCTCCTCCTCCTCCTTCCCCAGGAGCGCAAATCACGGGGTTCCGGATGGCTCTGATACCAGCGCACGTGTCGAACCTCTGGTACATGCGCTTCTACTTTGCCGAGATGAACTTGACTGCCAAGGTGGGCGACCGGCGGTTTGACATCCTGCTGGGGAGCGGCCGTCGGGTGGTGGCTCTGGGGAATAGAGTCGGACTGCTGGACGGGCGAGGTGAGAAGGGTAGTGGGAGTGCTGGTGCTGGTGCTGGTGCTGGTGCTGGTGCTGCTGGTGGTGCGGCTAACTCGGCAGCAGAAGCAGCATTAGGATCGTCATCGTCAGCAGCAGCGGCAGCAGCGGAAGCATCGTCGGATTTCGACATTCTCTCGCACGTGCCGCCCCGCACGGCCCTCATCGTCCCCCTCCTCTTCAACTTCTCCCGCTTCTCCCACGGCCGTTCAGAGGACCTCGAGGTGGGTATTGTGCTGGTAAGGCATCTTCATATGCTCGTTTGCTTCCTGGCTGCCTCTGCTTCTCCCACGGCTGCTCAGAGGATCTCGAGGTGCGTGTTGCTATGTTTGGGTCGACTCTAAAATAGCCCCGCACGGCCCTCATCGTGATTGAAGAAGTGTTTTGAGGCGTCTCAAAACGTCTCAAAACACTTCTTCAACCCCGCACGGCCCTCATCGTGCCCCTCCTCTTCAACTTCTCCCGCTTCTCCCACGGCCGCTCAGAGGACTTGGAGGTGGGTGCTGTGCTTAAACATCATGATAAGCACATTAGCTTGTGAGCAACATTACCAGCACACAGCAAATTTGCTTGTGGGCTGCTGCCACTTCTCCCACAGCCGTTCAGAGGACCTCAAGGTTCGTCTTGCTGCTGGTTGAGCATTATTCTAAGCACATTCGTTTGTGAGCATCACTGTATGCTCACCAACAACGACTATGGGCATCGCTATAAGAACATCACTTTGAGATGGGTGTTTCTCATTGTGAGTCAATGCATTGGCGTATAGACACGTCAGCTCCTAGGCTCCTGACCTTGTGATTACCATCGAGGCATCAGCTCCATCTCTCACTCATTATTACTTTGCCCTCACTTCTTGGGTCGTCTCCTCACCTTGTGACTACTTACCACTGAGGCTCAGAGCCTCCTTGCGCACTTGCTCTCACTCATTTTCGCTTTGCCCTCGCTTCTTGAGACGTCTCAAGACACGTCAACTCCGTGACTCCTCACCTTGTGATCACCACTGAGGCTCAGAGCCCCATCCCTCACCTGCTCACACTCATTCTCGCTTTGCCCTCGCTTTTCGCTTGTTCCTCGACCAGGTAGGTGTGCGCACAGCAGCCAATAGCACGCTGCCAGCTGTCCTGAGTGCTGTGGAGCTCTTCGAAGTGGTGCCGGTGTCCTTGGAGAAAGAGGAGGGAGAGGAGGGAGGAGAGGAGGTGAATGTGGTACAAGGTGGAGGAGGGGGGACTGCAGCAGCAGCAGCAGCAGTGAGTGCAGCAGAAGCATCGCCACCGGTCGGAATAAGCAATGGTGAGTACAGTGCCAGTGGAGTGGGAGGTCAGTGGGCTGATTACCGTACTTTGGATATTTTACAATACTGGTCCATGTTTTTGTACCATGTTTAATAATCAGCAGTGTATTTTGCTGTCATGTTTCGCTGCATTGCAAGTGCTGGTTGTTTTGGTCTTAGTTCCTGACTCTTGCTTCTTTGTCCCCTGTACAGGAATGCCCATTTGGTTGATAGTGGTCATTGTGTTGGGGAGTGTGCTTCTGCTGCTACTCGTGATACTTGCGGTCTGGTGGTGTTTACGTGGCAATCATAGATTCAAACGATTAGGTAAGTGTCGTGCAGCGCGTCAAGCACACATTTGCACTTTCCGAATATCCTGTTTCCACAGTTGTGCTCATGTGTCCTTGTTTGCGGTGTTTTTTTTATGATGTTGCAGAAGATGAGGCTTGATGCCACACGATTTCAACCTGTTATGCCATTATATCAATTGTGCAACTTCAGCATGATGCGGTACATCATGCTGTGGAAGCAAGTTCATTCTTACACCACATACGGTAAGCCAAATGAAGATTATATTAGCTGATAATGACTGTTATTTGTTTTGAAGGAAACGTGACAACAATATCCTATAGCGGAAAGGATCGTGATCTGTACCTTCGAAATCCTACCAGCCGTTGACTTTGCTGAGCTGGCCGTATGGTTATGTTTGGTTATTGGCGGGAAACCTCTCTTTCGCGTCGCGTATTGGGAAGCCGTGGCGGCCAAGGTCTGACAGGATCATAGAACACTGACGGCTTGGCGAAGTTACGTGTGGGTGACATGAAAGAAGTGCCTCGTCGCTGGAACAAAACAAGATCATTCGCGACAGCCATGACGTCCGCAAACAGTCGCAAGTTGACATCCCTTTTCGTTGCAGCCCACTCACGTCCGCAACAATCCTTCGCGACAAGAGCATACCGTCGATCTTGGATATCTGGCTGTCGAATACTACCTGGACTTCGCGCCTAACCTTCGCAACTCGTCCAGTCTCCGTGACCTTTCGCAACAGTCGCCAAGGCCGACTCCATTTAGACATCTGAAAGAATTCCTCCTAGCTTTCACTTGCCTTGTCCTTCTCAAGCATCCATCATCTGTGTGTCTGGCATCCTTGGGAAACATAACCGCATTCTCGGAAGGCTTTATCTGCCTGCAATATGTGTTTGTTGCTGTGGTAGTCATTACGTTTGAGCATCTCTCGCAATTCTGCTGTAGTATTCAGGGTTCCTAAGCGGTTCTTGCACAGAGTAGAAGCAGCATGCTGGCGTTGCGCGCATAACGAAAGGATTGTTCCACTATTAGTAAGAATAAGTAGTCCTAGGAGAATGTTCATTGTAGCGGATAGGAGAGGCGCTCTGACTAAGGAGCAGACGCTAGGGACGATATTCGATTTTATCCCAGGAAACCCAGTAGGAGGACCAACAGCACCGCGCGGAACAGCACCGCCAAGGAGACACACAACTGGCCATGGCTCTTCCTCCCCTTTATCATCCTCCGCGCCACCTACCAACGTTTCTCACTCTGCTTCCCGCACGGTCTCGCTTCCCCATCTCTCCACCACCACCTTAGGTTCACCTCCTGCTGTCTCGACGAATTCCGTCCACACTGTCGGGAATTTTGTTCAAGTCGTAACAAATCTGAACGCAGCGTCAACTGATTCCGTTTTCCCGTGCACGGACTCCGTTCGCACCTCGTTTGATTCCTTTCTCTCGCACGCATCCAACCCTGACTCAGCACACGCCAACATCCCTCAAAGTGAAACCCCAGAGTCGCAGCAGCAACGTGCCTCTTCCTCTCCAGACTCAGCCGATTCCGGCTCGTTCAGATTCACCATTTCGCCAGCGCTCTCCAATCTGAACCATCCGTTATCGCCTTCACTCAGCTCACCAACGGTCGAGTTTATTCCGTCACCTGCTCCCTTTGGTCCCGCCGTTTCCGCTAGATACGGCCCGTCTCTCCCGCCGCCTGTCGAGCTCGGCCCTTCCGTTACCACCACCCTCGGCTTTTCCAGGTCTCGCTCTTCCCCAGCTAAGTGCGAAACGCCTAGCGAAGATATTCACCAAGCGGTTGCGACAGGCGATGGTGGCGAATTGTTCGTTGAGCCGCGCCAGGCTGCAGAGCCCCTGGTGTCTGGTAACAACCAGAGATGCCAGTTAGAAGGAGTTTCCCAGATTTCAGGAGGCTCGTCGTCCGTCGTACAAGGGTCCACCATCGATGAGTCGTCGCAGCCATCGCAGCCGTCGCCGACTAGTGCGGCCTCGTCGCAGCCGGAGTCGCTTGGAAGAGGCGGAACAGTCGGTGTGCTAGACGGTCAAGATGGTGAAGCAGGTCAAACCGGCCATGTCTCTCAGTTCTCTTCTCCACCGCGAGTAGCGCCGCAAATATTGGTGGTCCCTGAAATTGAGAGCCCTTGCACGGGAACAACCAGCATCCCATCGTCCTCGTTACAGCATGCTTCGATTGAAGCGCTAGACCCTTCGTCTTCTTGCGGCTGTTGTGGAGGGTTAGGCTCAGGGGAAGGGGAAGCGGGGAAGAGTGACAGGGGTGATGTGGAGAGGGGGAGGGCTGGTCGGCGGTGCTGCGCCGCAGCTAGGCGGAGGCTGGACTGGGGGGAAGCGGCGGACGACCGTTCCGCCAGTGAGGGGGGAGCCGCCAGTAGAACCGCGCCGGAAGCTGCAGTTTTAGCGCGGAGCAAGAAGCGGATTTCGGTACACGTGGCAGCTCGGGAGGGGGACGTAGAGGCGCTGCGGGACGCGCTAGCTGCCAGACCTGGAGCGATCAACGAGAGGCAATTGCCGGTGAGTGGAAGGAACGACTTTTGAGGTGCCTCGCTTCCTTGAAGGAACGACTTTTGACGTGCCTCGCTTCCTTGAAGGAACGACTTTTGACGTGCCTCGCTTCCTTGAAGGAACGACTTTTGACGTGCCTCGCTTCCTTGAAGGAACGACTTTTGACGTGCCTCGTTTCCTTGAAGGAACGACTTGTGACGTGCCTCGTTTCCTTGAAGGAACGACTTGTGACGTGCCTCGCTTCCTTGAAAGAACGACTTTTGACGTGCCTCGCTTCCTTGAAGGAACGACTTTTGACGTGCCTCGCTTCCTTGAAGGAACGACTTTTGACGTGCCTCGCTTCCTTGAAGGAACGACTTTTGACGTGCCTCGCTTCCTTGAAGGAACGACTTTTGACGTGCCTCGCTTCCTTGAAGGAACGACTTTTGACGTGCCTCGCTTCCTTGAAAGAACGACTTTTGAGGTGCCTCGCTTCCTTGAAGGAACGACTTTTGACGTGCCTCGCTTCCTTGAAGGAACGACTTTTGACGTGCCTCGCTTCCTTGAAGGAACGACTTTTGACGTGCCTCGCTTCCTTGAAGGAACGACTTTTGAGGTGCCTCGCTTCCTTGAAGGAACGACTTTTGACGTGCCTCGCTTCCTTGAAGGAACGACTTTTGACGTGCCTCGCTTCCTTGAAGGAACGACTTTTGACGTGCCTCGCTTCCTTGAAGGAACGACTTTTGAGGTGCCTCGCTTCCTTGAAGGAACGACTTTTGACGTGCCTCGCTTCCTTGAAGGAACGACTTTTGACGTGCCTCGCTTCCTTGAAGGAACGACTTTTGACGTGCCTCGCTTCCTTGAAGGAACGACTTTTGAGGTGCCTCGCTTCCTTGAAGGAACGACTTTTGACGTGCCTCGCTTCCTTGAAGGAACGACTTTTGACGTGCCTCGCTTCCTTGAAGGAACGACTTTTGACGTTCCTCGCTTCCTTGAAGGAACGACTTTTGACGTGCCTCAAGAGTCGCTTGCTGCCAGACCTGGAGCGACTAATGAAAGGCAACTGCCGGTGAGTGGAACGACTTTTGAGGTGCCTCGCTTCCTCGAAGGAACGACTTTTGACGTGCCTCGTTTCCTTGAAGGAACGACTTTTGACGTGCCTCGCTTCCTTGAAGGAACGACTTTTGACGTGCCTCGCTTTTGAAGGAACGACTTTTGACGTGCCTCGCTTCCTTGAAGGAACGACTTTTGACGTGCCTCGCTTCCTTGAAGGAACGACTTTTGACGTGCCTCGCTTCCTTGAAGGAACGACTTTTGACGTGCCTCGCTTCCTTGAAGGAACGACTTTTGACGTGCCTCGCTTCCTTGAAGGAACGACTTTTGACGTGCCTCGCTTCCTTGAAGGAACGACTTTTGACGTTCCTCGCTTCCTTGAAGGAACGACTTTTGACGTGCCTCGCTTCCTTGAAGGAACGACTTTTGACGTGCCTCGCTTCCTTGAAGGAACGACTTTTGACGTGCCTCGCTTCCTTGAAGGAACGACTTTTGACGTGCCTCGCTTCCTTGAAGGAACGACTTTTGACGTGCCTCGCTTCCTTGAAGGAACGACTTTTGAGGTGCCTCGCTTCCTTGAAGGAACGACTTTTGACGTGCCTCGCTTCCTTGAAGGAACGACTTTTGACGTTCCTCGCTTCCTTGAAGGAACGACTTTTGACGTTCCTCGCTTCCTTGAAGGAACGACTTTTGACGTGCCTCGCTTCCTTGAAGGAACGACTTTTGACGTGCCTCGCTTCCTTGAAGGAACGACTTTTGACGTTCCTCGCTTCCTTGAAGGAACGACTTGTGACGTGCCTCGCTTCCTTGAAGGAACGACTTTTGACGTGCCTCGCTTCCTTGAAGGAACGACTTTTGACGTGCCTCGCTTCCTTGAAGGAACGACTTTTGAGGTGCCTCGCTTCCTCGAAGGAACGACTTTTGACGTGCCTCGCTTCCTTGAAGGAACGACTTTTGACGTGCCTCGCTTCCTTGAAGGAACGACTTTTGACGTTCCTCGCTTCCTTGAAGGAACGACTTTTGACGTGCCTCGCTTCCTTGAAGGAACGACTTTTGACGTGCCTCGCTTCCTTGAAGGAACGACTTTTGACGTTCCTCGCTTCCTTGAAGGAATGACTTTTGACGTGCCTCGCTTCCTTGAAGGAACGACTTTTGACGTGCCTCGCTTCCTTGAAGGAACGACTTTTGACGTGCCTCAAGAGTCGCTTGCTGCCAGACCTGGAGCGACTAATGAGAGGCAACTGCCGGTGAGTGGAACGACTTTTGAGGTGCCTCGCTTCCTCGAAGGAACGACTTTTGAGGTGCCTCGCTTTCTTGAAGGAACAACCTCGTTCCTTGAAGGCTCGTTCCCTCGCTTGCACTCTTCTCCTCTCTCCTGGTGTGTCTCCCCCCTGCCCCCTTCAGAACCCGGCTCCACTCCCCCCCTTTCCCCCATCCCTCCCCTCACCCGCGGCTCCATCTTTGGTGGGGGGATAATCCATCTGGTAACGCCATCGCGCACAATGGAATCCTCTCAAGCCTCCATGCCACGTCTCCCCCGTGCCACGCCACGCCCTCCCCACGTCAGGCCCTCCCCTCTAACCCATGTCCCTCCTCTCCACTCCTCTCCACCCCTCTCCACTCCTCGTCACCCAGGTGTGTCAGACGCCTCTCCATCTCGCCGTGGCGGAGGGGCACCTCGAGGCGCTCCGCTTTCTCCTGGACTGGAGGGGGCAGTGCGGCGGGGCAGAAGTGAAAGCAGACGTGGAAGCGCGGAACATGGTGAGACGAGTTGACTGCTGTAACGGGGTTAATCAGCGTCGATTGTTGTGAGACCAGCAAGCTGAGCGCGGACGTCAAAGCACGAACCGTGGTGAGACGAGCTGACTGCTTTAACGGGGTTAATCAGCGTCGATTGTTTTGAGACCAGCGAGCTGAGCGCGGACGGACCGTGGTGAGACGAGTTGAACAAACGGCGAAGCTGTTGGCAGTGCTGTTATGGTAAAACAGGGTGCCCTCAGTTTGCGGTCAGAGTTTTGAGACTTCTCAAAAGTTTTGAGAAAACTTCTGAGACGTCTTCAAAGACGCTGTTAGCAGTGCTGTTCTGGTAAAACAGGATGTTGCCACCAGGTACAGTCAGAGTCCCTCAGAGTCTTAAGGGCAACGGGACAGTTGGAGATCCGAGTCTCCCCTTGCCCCCTTCCCCCTTCCCACCTCCCCCTTCCCCATTTCTCATTCCCCATTCCCCCGTCCCCATTCCCTCTTCCCCCTTCTCACTTCCCCCTTCCCTCTTCTCACGTCTCCCTCTCCCTTTTTCCTTCTCTGCAGTTCGGCGAGACCCCTGTGCACGTGGCGGCCAAGAGCAGCAACGCGGACGCCATTGGGCTGCTGCTACGAGCAGGCGCACGGGCGGACGTCGCTGCCACGGTAAGCTCCCTCTCTGCTCCACGATTTATTTAGAACTCTCCGAAACCAGCTTGTAGCAACGCGGATGCCATTGGGCTGCTGCTACGGGCAGGCGCTCGGGCAGACGTCGCTGCCACAGTAAGGCCGCCTTTCCACCTTCCCGCTCCGACCCCTCTCCGCCCCTCCTCACCCCCACCCTTCATTTCGTCGTTTCCATTTCCTTTAGCTTGCTGCACCATTGAAAGAGGAAACTCTGCGTCTACAATATTCCTCCTAACTCTCTCCTCCCGAATGCCTGTTCAAACCAACCCTTTCCTTCCATCCCCCCATCCCCTTCGCTCCCACCTTCTCTATCTCATCTCCTAACCTACCATCAGAACGGTATGACGCCTGTCCATCTCGCCGTGTGGGCTGCTGTCCAATCTACTAGTAGCAACACTGGCAGCGACACTGGTAGCAACTTCAACTGCAGCATTGCCGCCCATCCGCCTAGCAAGCTGCTAGCCACAGCAAAATTAGCACCTGAAGCGACACCTGGGCCAGAAAAGTCACCCGAATCGGCACCTGGATCACAGCAGCTAGCGCAGCAGCAGCAGCAGCACCTGACGCATCAAGCAGACCTAGCAATCTCTCCCTCTAAACCATCTCCATTGCGCCACTCCCAAGGGGAACTCTCCCCAAAACCACTCTCCCCAGGGGAGCTCTCCCCCCGACCACTCTCCCCCTGCTCCCCTCGTCCGCTCTCCCCCCTGCCCCTCTCCCCTCGACTGCTTTCCCCGAGCGCCTATGGTTCGGCCTTCCCCACCTGCCCGCCCCCCACACCATCGTCGCCCACCAGTTTCGACTCCCTGCCTGCAGCTGCTGCTGCCTCTGCTTCTGGTTCTGCTGCTGCGGACGGGTGTATGCTCTCCCCGTCTGCTGCTGCTGCTGCTGCTGCTGCTGCTGCTCCTGGTGCTGGTTGTTCTGGTGTAAATGGTGGTGGTGCTGCTGGTGGAGTGAAGGGTGGTGGCAGCAGGGAGTGTGGTGGGGGAGTGGTGGCGGCTGTGGCAGTACTGCTAGAAGCCAATGCAGACCCGTGTGCTGTTGATAAGGTACGGTTTAGTGCAGTACGGAGAGGTCAAGAATGGTTCGGGATGGAAACACGCCCATGATTCTGCTTCCCAGTCGACCCAGATGTTGTGTGTGCCGAGAGGTGCAGGCTCTGCTGCAACAGCACACATTCATGTGCTCCTGTCCCTTTTCCTGGTGCCTCTTTCCTTCATGTCTTATCTCGACCTGTCTCCCTTCCCCACACGTCGTCCCTCCTTCCCACGCCACCAGGACGGCAACACACCCATCGCGCTGCTTCCCAGCAGAGCCACACTTTGCCCTGTGTATCGGGAGTTTTTGAGAATTCTCAAAAACACCCTAGAGCCACACTTTGCCGTGTGTGTGTCGGGAGGTGCAGGCTCTGCTGCGGCAACATGTGCTCATGCCTCTTCCCTCCCCGCACCCCCTTGGTCCCCATGCCAATGGCATCAGGACGGCAACACGCCCATGGCGCTGCTTCCTAGTCGAGCCGCACGGTGCTCTGTGTGCCGGGAGGTGCAGGCACTGCTGCAACGACACATCAGCAGGCGAACGAGGCTGCAGGTACGATGTGCATGCCTGGATAAGTTCGGTGCATGAATATGTGTGCATGAATATGTGTGCATGAATATGTGTGCATGAATATGTGTGCATGAATATGTGTGCATGAATATGTGTGCATGAATATGTGTGCATGAATATGTGTGCATGAATATGTGTGCATGAATATGTGTGCATGAATATGTGTGCATGAATATGTGTGCATGAATATGTGTGCATGAATATGTGTGCATGAATATGTGTGCATGAATATGTGTGCATGAATATGTGTGCATGAATATGTGTGCATGAATATGTGTGCATGAATATGTGTGCATGAATATGTGTGCATGAATATGTGTGCATGAATATGTGTGCATGAATATGTGTGCATGAATATGTGTGCATGAATATGTGTGCATGAATATGTGTGCATGAATATGTGTGCATGAATATGTGTGCATGAATATGTGTGCATGAATATGTGTGCATGAATATGTGTGCATGAATATGTGTGCATGAATATGTGTGCATGAATATGTGTGCATGAATATGTGTGCATGAATATGTGTGCATGAATATGTGTGCATGAATATGTGTGCATGAATATGTGTGCATGAATATGTGTGCATGAATATGTGTGCATGAATATGTGTGCATGAATATGTGTGCATGAATATGTGTGCATGATCTGCGTATGCGTGCTGACATTAGAGTCGACTCAGGATTCAGGCTCTGCTGCAACGACACATCAGCAGGCGAACGAGGCTGCAGGTATGGTGGGTAGGCTTGGATAACGTTTGTGTCTGATATGATACAGGAAGCATACTGTAGTCTGAATAACACAATTTGAAATATAGAAGCAGATTTCTTGGCAGCTGCAACATTTTGTTTTCTCTTTTCTCCCCATGTGTTCCTCCCATTCGTTACAGGCTGAACTGGCGGTGCATGGAGCAAAGCTGGTAATGGATCAGCTAGAAAAGGAGCTATCCTCGTTAGTAGGCCTCCACTCGTTAAAGCAGCAGCTAAGGACATGGGGAAAGGGTCTCCTACTGGACCAAAGGCGCCGGGCACTTGGGCTGCCCGTCCCTCCCCGCCGCGCCCCACACATGGCTTTTCTGGGCAGCCCGGGCACCGGAAAAACAACCGTGGCGCGGGTGCTTGCCCGGATGCTGGCGCTGGTGGGTGTTTTACCCTTGAATAAGGTTATAGAGGTGCAAAGAACGGATTTAGTTGGGGAATATGTGGGGCATACGGGTCCGAAAACGAGGAGGAAGATCGAGGAAGCAGAAGGAGGGATTCTGTTCGTCGATGAGGCGTATAGGCTCATGCCGTGTCAAAGGAGTGAAGAGAAAGACTATGGGATAGAGGCTTTGGAGGAGATTATGACAGTGATGGATTCGGGGAAACTGGTGGTGATTTTTGCGGGGTATGCGGAGCCGATGCAGCGGGTTTTCGAGGCTAATGAGGGGTTTAAGAGGAGGGTTACTAAGTGTTTTACTTTTGATGATTTGAGCCCGAGGGAGATTGCCAGGGTGATGCTGCTGAAGATGGGGTATGGTCAGACAGGGGAGCAGAGGAGATTGGGAGGTGCGGAGAAGCCGAGTTGTGAGAATTCTCGCCCTGAGGAGGAGACGCGGATTCAGCAGAAGGGGGGTGTGTCTGGGGGACAGAGGGAGCAGACGTATCTAAGGGGAGAGATGCAATGGGGAAGTAGCAAGACTGGGGAGCGAGTGGAGGAGCGAAGGAAGGAGGAGATGGAGCCACAGGGGAAGCAGCGGGATGCAGGGGCGGATGAGAGGAAGGGGGGGGGACAGGGCGAGGAGTGTAGCAGTCTGGGTGGGAGGGGGACGGCATGTGACTGTAACGAGCGGTGTGGTAACCGCAGCAGCTGTGCGGCTTCGGATGGCAGCATCAGGAACGACAGTGATGGGCCGGCAGGAGGCGGAGGGAGTATGCCCTGTGTAGCTGATGGTTCCATCAAGCAGCAACTGCAAGGAGAGGAAGTGGGGAAATGGCCGGTTGGAGTGGAGGCGGGTGGAAGAGGAGGGGATTTTGCGGATGGAAGCAGTGGCATTATTACCAATGAGAGCGGGAGTGGGAGTGGGAATGGGAGCGGTGGGAGCAAGGAGGAGATTGAAGCTGCAGATGACACGGACATGTCTCCGCTTACTGGCTTCAGGTGAGTCGATCTGAATGGTGCACAGATAGATGTCTCTGCCGTATGTCCGCGTGTGATGAGTCGATTTTTGAGTCGACTCAACACATACAGAGTTACATGTCTCTTCCATATGTCGGTGCTGGTGCTGCTGGACAGTGGGGAGTGGTGATGGGTTCTTTCTTTCACCCTTTCCACCCTTTTTCACCCCATTTTTCACCCATTTCCACCGCTTTCCACCCTCTCCACCCCCTCACACCTCACTCCAGGCTCCACTCCTCATGTTCAGAAGAGGCATTGGCAGAGGCGATCATAGCACACACGACAGCGAAGCAGCGCAAGGAGAGGAACGGAGGCATGGCGGTGCCGGTGCTGCTGGATGCCCGAGACCATCTGGACCTGCGGCTGCCTCTGGACTGCTGCTGCGAGGACGAGCTGATGACAATCCACATGCACGACATTGAAGGTGCTTTAGGGATGCTGCCACCGTGATGGGTGTGACAGGGTGCTTGTGAGTGTGGGGAAAGGGAGGACGAGGAGAGACGGGAGGAACGGTGCTGCTGGATGCCCGGGATCATCTGGACCTGCGGCTGCCCCTCGACTGCTGCTGCGAGGACGAGCTGATGACAATCCACATGCACGACATTGAAGCTGCTTTAGGGATGCTGCCACCGTGATAGGAGTGTGATCGGGAAATGTGGGGGGGGCCTGAGGAGCAGCTGATGACCATCCACATGCACGACATTGAAGCTGCTTTAGGGATGCTGCCACCCTGATAACAGATTGGTTGACTGGGAACATGGGGGCAGAGGAGAAGTGAGTGTGTGTCTGGCAGTGGGTGGTTTGGTTTGCACCAGAGGCTGCCTCTGACTGCTGCTGTGAGGAGCCACTCATGACCATCCCACATGCATGACATTGAGGCAGCCCTACGGATGCTACCATTGTGACATGCAGAGCAGGGGAGGGAGGGTAGGGTATGTTGTGGCAGTGTCAGTGCTGCTCTAGACGTGAGACTGCCCTTCCTGCTGCTGTGAGAGCAGAGCAGCTCATGCCCTACGTGCACGACGCTGACTTGGAGCGAGGAGGAGCTGATTTCGAGGCAGTAGCTGGTTGTGGTGCTCGGGACAGGTTAACTTGACAGAGATTCCATTCACTGGTGTTGCATCGTTTGATCCCCCGCTATTCGGGTTTGGCTAAGGAAGTCAAGAAGGCTTTACTGCATAGAGCAACGAGCTGGGTTGTGACAGATTACGAGTAGAGGGAGGACTAGAGCATCCGGCTAACGGTATGATTATAGCAAGGGCGGCATAGTTAGAAGTTTTAACTATTTGGAATAACAGTGCTAATGTATTTACATGTGCCCTGAGCATTCCATTGTATTATATGCTTGAACTTTCTAGTTAGCTAATGTTAGTTGGATATACCGCTAATTTTTACATTCATGGGCTAGGAAGTATGGATATCGAGTGGTTTTCCGCGATACAGAGTAGTCATGCTCTCGTTGGCCATAACCAGGCTGGTCACATCACTCACAAGTGACAGGTACAATCCAGAAAGCACCTGAGAGAAGAGGGCTGATGGATGCTCGTGGCATCGTCGTTGGGATTAGAGACATGCAGACCGTACGATTAAAAGAGTTTCCGTCGATGCGACGAGGTTAATATATAGGCGGTCACAAACAGGGGCTCGTCATCACAAAAAGTCACGCTGCTATCGCGAACGGGCACAGAATCTAGCTATCTATCACGGATGGTCACAGAATCCGGAATTTCTATCACGAATAGTCACACGCTGCCCCAACAGTCTATCACGTTTCGTCACAAGACGAAACGCACGGTGTAGAAGCTGTAGCGGCCTTAAACTGTTGAGATTTATGAACAATTAACTGGCGACTAGTCTTGTCATATATGCTTAGTTTGCCTGGTTAATTCCGTAGCGAGTCGCGGAGGCGAAGGTTACAAAAATTTGCATGCCTAAAAAAATAACTAAAACCCGCTCGGATGGCATGCCATCCGAGAGAGCATCAACCCTAAACACCATACGACAAGGTGTTTAGGTTTGATTCCTAAAGTCCGCAGGAAGAGGTTTTAAAAAAAGTTTTTTTTCTTTTTGCGGACGGATTATGCAAATCTGCTGCGGGAAAAAGACAATTGCTTCATGCTTTGAACGAGTTTGCGAAAGTGGTCGCGAACTTACTCAGAGGTAACACTTTTTTTCGCGCACAATATAACTTTCCCCGAATCTCTACAGTTACTCGTGAAATTTCAACTTTCCACGGAGCGTTTCATTGTGTGACCGTACGTGATAGATCGTGGGGCAACATTGTGACTACCCGTGATAGAATTCCATATTTTGTGATCGTCCGTGATAGGATCCTAGATTCTGTGACCGTTCGTGACTGCCAGACGACCATTCGTGATATAGAGCCAGTGTCTGTGACTGAATCTATAATTTCCCGATGCGACGTCTGCCATGTGGCTAATTTGAATGACCCTCCGGGTAATATATTGCACTGCACGCGTCAGCAGGCAGTGCAATGAGTCAGCGGGCAAGAAAAAAAAATAAACCCCCATGGGAAGGCATGCCATCCGAGGGAGCCTCAACCCTAAAATTTTAGGGTTGAGGCTCCCGAATGGCATCCAGTCCGAATGGGTTTTAGTTTTTCTGCCCGCGGGCTGAATGCTGACTCACTTGGTAGCGTCGTTTAGCGAAACGGTAACGGTACTGAGCGCTACCGACACTACCAAGTGTAATGTATTGGTAGGCGGATGATGCCACGCCTCGTAGCGACCGAGCGAATCTGGGTCACTGTCGGAATGTCACTTTCCAGTTCGAAACTAGTGCCTCTTGTCCATGGATCAGCATCGTCTGCTTGTAACGCGTGCAAATCACGACGATGAATCCGAGTCTTCCAGTCATAGCGTCGGGATCCGGAAGCTGCGTTTTTTTTCAGAGCACGACCCTCCCACCATGGAAGCTATCCGGCGGAGGGTCGTGCTCTGAAAGAAGCGCATGCGGATTTGATTTAAACAGGCGCAGGATAGCTTTCATGGTGGGAGGGAGCGCCGGCGGCTTATATGCGACTGTTGACGGGACAGATGCGCGAATATGTGATTTTGAATCGTGTGGACACTTCCGATGTGGATGTGGATGGGGATGCAGACGTGAAAGCGGATGAGGATGTGGAAAGGTTTGGCCCTTCACCCACCTGTCAGTGTCTGTCACAGTTCGTGGGAATCAGTGCAGGTGGGCCCTCCAAGTTAGAAGGGACAAACACACAGTACTCTCAGATTCTTTCTTCATATTCCTGGGTCTTTCATATATATGTGCTTGGTGAACGAGATACACATGCGTCTTTCACATTTGCTACCGTATATTCTCCGTGTTTGCTACTGCATTGTGCAGCTCTTGCAATTCAGAGAGCAATTGACGAAACTGACATACAAGTCCCTGAAGTGCTCACGTGACCATGGCGTTGCTGATGCGCCTCTTTGCCTGCTGCCTTTTGATCCTGCTTTCAGGTATGGGACTCTCCTTAATTGTCTCTTGGTCCCCCATCTTTCCGAATCTCTCTTCTCCGTCCGAATCACTCATCTCTCATCCCCTTGTAATATTTCCCCCCTCTTGGCTGTTACACCAGCATTAACCTGTCTCAAAGATCGTTGTCTCACTTCTCCCCAACCCTTTTTTTTTCATGTTTGCTGTGCAGTGTCAAACGTTTCAGGTTGGAAAAGCAGCGGTTCATTTGATTCTGTCACTGAAACTGCACAACAAGGTCACCAACAACAGCATCGCCGCGTCTTGAACAACGGAATTGCTACAACGTCCACTCCTCCGAACACTCCTTCATCCAGCATTCCTGCAATTACCACGACCTCTTCCACCTCCACCACCCCCACCTCCGCAAAAGCTGTTTATCAGCTCGCTCTGGAGCTGATGGCTGTTTTATTGAACGATCCAACATTGAGCAGCCTGATAAGCAGGGCTGGTGTTCGGTTTGGCAATGTGGATTTGCCTCAGATAGGGAACACGTTGGCGAACGGTGGTGGTGGAGGTGTTGTGGTTGTGGGGGGTGGTTCAGGCTCTAGTGGTGAAAGTGCGGGTGCAAGAGCTAGTGAGTATAGTAGGCAGAGTAGAGCCAGCAGAGCGAGTTTGAGTAGCCTGGCCAGCAGGAGGGGCCGTGCTCAGAAAGCTAATGCATCATAAGGCTGCTGAACATGTACTTCATTCTCTGTGCTGAAATTATTCAGTGATAAACTGTCTTCCCTCAATGCTACAGCAACATGTTGGCCCCATAGTTTTATTCCTTACATCATGCTTCCCAGTTACTCTACAGGATGTCAAGTATAGTAAGTTGAAGAGTTGTGGTTTGAAACCCACATAACCGATATATATTCAGGGGTTGTGGTGCACACTGTTTTTTCTGAGCATCAACACGCTAAGCAAGATATTCCCTCATCACCGCTTTTGAACGCAACGCAGCGTAACAAACCGAATCGTGGCACGTGAGTTTGAAACGAGGATGGATGAGGCAAGCCTACCATAGCGGGACGAGCGACATGATCCGAACCACATCACCTTTCCATGGCTCCTATCACATCCTAGTAGAGGCAAACGACTTGCTCCGTCTCTGTCTACTAGCGCTCGTTCCATCGCTAGTCGCGATGCTGAATCATGCTAGAAGAAGCTGCGTACGTGTTGTTACGATAAATCAAAAGGAATCAATTCAGTTGTCTGTGGCTTTTTACGACAGTCAACGTCTCTCGGCAACTTCAAGACGTGACAAGCAGCCTGAAACTGAATACTTGCGCTAGAAGGCTGGACTGTCCGTTGTCGATAATTCCAAAGCACGGCCTGAAATTTCGGAGTGTCATTCTCTTGGTGGCTCGGATGGTGACTGACGGCTCGATTTCAGCGAATGGTTTTTGGAGAGCTCGGTTGCCGTCACAATCAGGCGACGGTTTCCGTCGAATGTGCGAACCAGGAATTTCCGCCGTCGTCCAGCGATCGACAACAAACGACAGGCACACCGCACATCAAATCAAAACCAATGAACTTCGTCGTAAATTCTCGGCTCTCGTCTTCGCAATCCGTCGTGCACAGTCGCAAGGGACGCAGAAAGCGACGAGGAGCCTTAGAAGCTGTCAGCCAGTAACCCTAGGATAACTTTACTGACATTTCGTGACAGGCACTGACAGTGACAGCGACCTGCTTCCTGGAGCAATCTACAGCATCCGCTTTCATGGCGTTCTTGCCGTCAGCAAACCTATTTATTTGCCATACTGGCTTTGCAGGTTCAGTAGGCGACAGCAAACGAACACGCCACTCCAATTGCTCGCGCTCTTTAATCTTGCACAAGACCCGCAGGAATCTGAAGAGGACCTCAGCACCCCTCTGAAGCCCTCAGCACCTCGCAGCAGCCCTCTGAGTTCCTCAGGAAGCACTCCATCGACTATGGCTGGGAAAGGCTTCATTAACACACTAGTTGTCTGGCGAGCATTGATCCTCTGCGTTCTGCTGAAAACACTGGCCAGTACGTATTTCACTGATAACATCTCCTCGTTTGTCTTTAGAAGTGAACTGTTTCTGCCTTTCTCTTCTCTTGCTTTCAGTTGCCTGCTGTTTCATCCCTTATTCATTTCATCCGTTCTGCCTCTCTGCAGGTTCTTGCGCAAGCGCTTCAAACACAACACAAACGCCACCTGTCTCTCCTGCAGCAACTGCTTCCCTCCGATCCAACAGCTCCCTCACTCCAGCAACCCCACCCTCCCTTCCTCGCACTGTCTCCCCTTCTGTTCCCCCTCGCTCTCCTTCCCTTCCTCCATCCTCCCCCCCGCCTCCTGCTGCCTATATCCAAAGCCAAATTGTGAACACACTCGTCCAAGCTGCCACGTCAGCATCAGATCCAGCAGTCCCCATGCCAATCCAGCTAGGCAGCGGCACCCCCAGCAGCACTGGAGGAGGCTCTTCTGGGGGAGGTTTATCCTTGGGCTCTTTTTTCAACCCGGATTTCCAATCCGACCTGTTCTTTGCAACCATGACGCAGCTGCTGAATTTGTTGAGAGGAACTGGAGGGGATATGGCGGCTACTATGGGGAGTGAAACCGCAAGTGGGAGCACGACGAGTGCGAGTGGAACAAATGGAACTAGTCAAGCAAGTGAAGATAGCCAGAGCAGCCAGGCTAGCAGCAACAGGAGGCAGCGTGCAAGTGGTTTTAGTGGGAATGGAGTCTAAATCATGGGTGGTAAGTTGTGCAAGTCAGAGCAGCTACGGTATGGTTACAGCACACTCATCCTGGCTGAAAGAAGTATTTCCACGCAAGAGTATTTGAGAAATGTATGTAAGGGTACAGAGTTTCCAACAATCCCTTATTCACCAGTGACCAGAAACTATATCTCTTTTCCTGTTCCGAATTCCTTCAGCAGTAACTGATATTCCAATTGCATTCTTAATCCTGTCCCACACAACCCATGATTATCGAGTAGTTCCAGCCAGCCACCTCATAAATCAGTCAAGCAGGCTTGCGTGGTGCTTCCTCAGCAGCTCTAACCACCCAAATACACTGCATGTCAACCATTTTCGTCCATTACGCCACTCTTGTTCCCATGGCCTCCCTCAGCTTCCCCCAAAATCCGTGCTTATCCGCAGGCACTTCAGTCCCAGCCAGCACATGCGCTTTAGCAGGGTCCCCCCACAACTTCCTCTGATGGCCTAGCTGCCCTCTCTGCTGCCCCGGCTGCCTCCCCTTCTGCACTCACTTCCAATGCACAGCAGGCCAACCAATTATTTCTTTCCTTTATGCCACTCTTGTTACCATTGCTTCCCTCAGCTTCCCCCAGAACCCGTGCTTATCCGCAGGCACTTCAGTCCCAGCCAGCACATGCGCTTTAGCAGGCTTCCCAGCAGCTTCCTCTGCTGCCCGCACCACCCACACCTCTCTATCCTTCCGAATCTCCAAAATTTCCGCTTCTGCCCCTCCGCACCCCTCTGACATCCCAACATCCACTCTAATAGCCTTCCCTTTACAAGTGGCGTTGATCCCCCCCGGCTGCTGAATCGTGTGGCCCATAATCATTCGCACCGAGCCTGGGAGCATCTCGAGCGTCCGTTCCAGAAGCCTGCAATCGCAGATCGAAGGGTCTGTGTGCGAGTATTCCCGAACCCACACGACTGCGTTTTTTGTGTGGAAAAAATGTGGCCCGCGTTCGGGCAGCCCGTCTGGTCGCCGGGTAGGTGAAAGCATCCACTCCTGCCCCTCTCTGTTGATCCGCTCCAGACCGTATTGCACGTGCTCGGGCAGCAGTCCCCCGTGCACAAAAACTGTGCTGCCCAGCCGAAGTACACTCGGGTTGCCCGCAAAAAAACGCTGCAGGAGCGGGCTGCCCGGAGATAATGCTGCCATACGTGCACGAAGCTCCGTCCTCACACGTTCGGAAACCGAAGCAAGAGGGTCGGGAGAAACCCTACCTCCTTCACAAGCTGCCCGGAAACCAACCCCCAGTCTCTCCCAGGCTGCCCATCTTTGAAAATCTCTTCTGCCCTCTCTCGTTGCGTAACGAAACCAGCCTTCGAAATTTCCAGTCTCGTGGTTACCAAGTAACACGTGCACCGCGCCTCCAGCCTGCCTCGCTTCCCGCCTTAATTTCTCAAAAAGGTAGACAACGGCTAGTTCCTGCCCTCCCCGATCTAGAAGATCCCCAACCTGCACGAGAACCGTTGATTTGCCCGTCCAGCGATCCTGGCCGTCGATTAGCCCCGCTGTGCGAAGCGCCTGCCTCGCCTTGGCGATGTCGCCGTGAATATCGCCAATCGCCACCACGCGATCCGCGGCAGGAAGCACCGTCGCTAACGGCGGCGGCCCGTCGGTGTCTCCTGGACCGACGGAATTCGTCCCCTGGTTTCTGGTCCCAGACGACTCCGAACCCTCAGGTTTCGCAGCCCTGTCGACATTTGAAGTTCCTGATTGGTCAGTGGCAGGATCGAAAGCTCCTGATTGGACAGGCCGAGTCCACCGTGGCGAATCCTTCGCACGCCCCGCGAGCACGTGGCCGCCGACGGCGAAATCAACGAAAGCGTCGATGAAGCGAGACCAAATGTGTGGCACTGCCGCGCAATGCGGTGGCGGCGTTGTAGCAAAATCGCGGTGCTCTGTAGCGGGAATGCCCATGGTAAGGAGTAAGAAGTGATGATAATTCCTGGCTCTCCGCTTACTGAAGCGAGGAATTAACACTTCAGGAATTAGCTCTCCTCATCTCATAGCGAGGATATTTGCCGCGTGACTCGATTTCCGTAGAGTGAAAGAAGCACACTCTCATCACAACGTCGCCAAAATGAGGAAAATATTCAGAGCTTTGTAAATGTTTACTAGTCACATAACGCAGTCCGAAAAAACCAACTCTAATAGGTAGCTACAATTGATGAGAAGCAACATACATTAAAGAAGCCATTTATACAGGTATATGACTGCTGGTTGGCAATAACGGTATTAGGCAGCAATGATACTGGACATTGTATGAAAGTCGGAAGAGTCTAGTTCAAGACTGCATCTGGAGCTGCTACGAGAGTGACACGGAGAGACTGAAAACGCAGTTGGAATCAGAGTGAGGGAGGAGCTGCGAGCAACCGGCTTGGAGTGCAGGGAAGGGGGAACGTGATGCCTTGGGTGGATTGTGATTGAAATGAACCCAGCATCAGAAGCACAAGCAGCAAAATCGGCAGCACTTGCAGCAGCAGCAACAGCAGCGGCAGCAGCAGCAGCAGCAGTATCAGCTGAAACAACCCTAGCAGCTCCAGGCACAGAGCGCTCAGCAGAACCCTTGGAATTTGCATCAGGTAGATTCAAGCTGGAAAACCAAGAAAGAGTTTCCTTCACATCTTCCTCATTCACCGCTTCCTCTGCTCGATGCACTCTCCTTTTTAAAGACGTCCCTCTCGTTACAAGCACATCGCGCATCAACCCCCCACGTCCAGCAGGAAGAGGCTTCTCCACAAGCGTTCCGGAGGGTATTGCTGCTGATTGCTCCAGTGACGGTTTATCCGGCAGACAATGGGAGGAGGTGTGCAGGTGGTGCAGATTGGACTTGGGTGGTTTCGGTGCTGTCTTCTTATTACGTAGGGTGGACCTGGGTGCACCCTGGTTAGCACTGAGGGTACCAGTTAGCGTGGTCGTGGGCGCAGCATGGGCGAGGTCCGGCAGGAAACTGGATGCACCAGAGGAGACCCGGATGCATGTACAAGTCTTCCTGTCTTTTGTTCCATCTGCGTTCTGAGGTGACTCGGTCATGTAAGCAGCTGGGGCAAGGACCGGCAAGGAATTGGATGCACCAGAGGAGACTTGGGTGCATGTACGACCCTTCCTGACTTCGCAAGCGTCAACGTTCAGAACCGATTCAGAAAGAGGCTTGACAGAGGAACTTCTGCCAGCTTCCACTGCAGAGCAACGATCTGGTTCGGGTAACTTGGATGGCATGTTCATGTTCGAATCTATGCTCGAATTCTTGGATAGCTTGCTCGCATCCTTCTTCCGATCCATGTTGGAATTATTGCTCGAGTCCATGTGCGAATTCATGAAGGGTCTTTGAGGCAACTCCGGAGTGGAGTCAATGGGGGGCGTAGGAGGGTCCTCTTGAGCTCTAGCTGCATCCATAAAGAGCTTTTGAGTCGACCCCGGTGTCGATTCCAGTCGCAGTTTCAGAGGGTCGGAACGCACCCTAGAGCCGTGGGATATCCTTTCGGCAGGCATGGAAGCTGACTTGCGGAAGACTCTAGAAATCCGGCTACTCTGATGCTGCATGGCAGCTTTGTCAGAAGCAGATCTGAGGAATGGCCAACCAGGAGGGACTTCTGCTGCTGCTCTTGCTTCTGGTCCTGTTCTCTCTACTGCTCCTGGCCCTGCCCTCCCTGCTGCTCCTGCTCCTGCCCTCCCTGCTGCTCCTGCTCCTGCCCTCCCTGCTGCTCCTGCTCCTGCCCTCCCTGCTGCTCCTGCTCCTGCCCTCCCTGCTGCTGCTCCTGCTGCTGCTGTTCCTGCTCCTGCTCCTGCTGCTGCTGTTCCTGCTCCTGCTCCTGCTGCTGCTGATCCTGCTCCTGCTCCTGCCCTCCCTGCTGCTCCTGGTGCTGTTCCTGCCCTCCCTGCTGCCCCTGCCCCTGCTCCTGCTGCTCCTGGCCTCTCCCCTGGCCCTGCTCTTGCTCCTGCTGCTGCTGCTGCTGCTGCTGATCCTGCCCTCCATGTTGATGCTATTTCTGCTGCTGCCCTTTTAGGTATTTCAATACGTAAGACGGAATTCGAATCAGACTGTATATCAGCCTGTGCATCAGCCTTTGGGCTCGGAATATCGTCTCTAGTGCAGTTCCCCTTACTCCACCCGCCTCGCTTATTTCCCCTTCCATTCTTATTCCCTCCTCCTCCATTAGAGCTTACTCCCCCTGGTTTCGGGTTGGCTGATGGGCGGGGCGAGTTGACTGAAGGGCGGGAGGAGTGGACTGAAGGGCGAGGGAAATTGACTGAGGCCCGAGGAGAGTTGACTGAGGCCCGGGGAGAGTTGACCGAGTCCCGAGGAGAGTTGATCGAGGCGCGGGAAGAGTTGACTGGGGCCTGAGGAGAGTGGACCGAGGTCCGGAAAGAGTTGACCGGAGGCCGGGGGGAGTGAACCGAGGCCCGGGGAGAGTGGACCGAGGCCCGGAGAGAGTTGACCGAGGCCCGGGGAGAGTTGACTGACCCATGGGGGGAGCTGACTGAGGGTCGGAAAGAGTTGACTGAAGGACGAGTAGAGTTGACGGTGTGGTGGACGTTGACTGAGGGTTGGGAAAGATCAACTGGCCCCTGAAACTGATGACGTGGCATGCTGAGGGGGTTCTGGCGTGGTGATGTGCACAACTGCAGATGTTGCGATTTAGCAGGCTTGTGGCTTGGCGAGATTACAGAACGCTGACGTGGCGAGTCATGTGGCAAGTGGTGAGAGGTCACCTGGATGGAGAGTGGATGAGGAGGCTTGATGGAGGGTCTATGGGGAACAGGAACAACTGCTGTAGCTGCTGCTGTGGCTCCTTCTGCAGTTCCTGCTGGCGTCCTTGCTGAATGTGCTGCAGTTGAATGTGTTGCTGCTGATATATATCTTAGCACCCATGGATGCTCTGGAGGGAAAGAATCAAACAATGAGGGCAAAAAGTGACAAGATTGATTAGGAGCTCTTTAAATGAAAGGGACACAACAAACAGGTTACCAGGTGAACACTGACAACAACGGATCATAAGATTTTTGTCTTACCGAGGATCTCGGATGGCCTTATCCGTTTTGCAGGATCTCTGTCCAGCAACCTTGACACAAGATTCTTCGCCTGCCCGGAAATCAACCTCCACGGACCCTGCGACACGTCAGCGTCCCCACCAGCCTTGACCTTTTCAAAAATGGCATCAGGTTCGTCAGCAAAAAAAGGCGGGAAACCGCACAGTAGCATATACACGACAATCCCTAGGCTCCAAACGTCAGCTTGGGGCCCGTAAGAGTTTTCCAGAACTTCAGGAGCTACGTAATACGGACTCCCTGTTACCGAATGAAGCTTTTCGCCAGGCTTTACGAACGCGGACACTCCAAAATCGCCAACGCAAACGCGGATAGGTGCTGCACTTCGCCGCTTCTCGCCACTGGACACCTCAACCTTATTCGCAGTCGTCGCAGCTGCGGACTTCGCAGAAACACTGCGGTTGCCAAGCAACGGCTCAGCGAGGACGGCAGGCGAAGAGTCGTTACCATTATTCGCGACGTCAGTCGTGCCACAGAAACAGCAACTGTCGCAACTACCGCAGTTACAAAAGCTGCTTCTAATCGACGAATAATTCATTCCGAAGCTGCTGAGTTGAGCGTGTGTAGCGGCGATTTTGCTGCCGCCGCTGCTGCTGCTGCTGCTGCCGCTGCTGCTGAAGCTGCCGCTCCGTCTGTTGTCATTTTTAGCAGTACGACTCGAAAAATGATTGTTACGGCTGCTAGAGCTTGCGCACGAGCTGCTAGTACCGCTGGTATCAATAGCCAAGCCGCCAGCGCCAGCGCCAGTGCAGGCGCCTTTGGAATCGACACGTCTCGTGCCGTCTGAAGCGCTGTGT